CATTCAGTCATAACTCATGCGGTGAAAAAAACAAATACCCTTCTTATGTTACCTTCATGTTATCTATTTTTCTAACATGCTTGCCACCAAATGTCACATGTTTTAGTAAAAAATGTGCATTTTACCACCATCCACCATTTTAAACTATTTATCAGCATAGGTTGATTAACTTAATTTCTTTTCACATTAATTTTTAATTTACTGTCCTACTTTTTGTGAAATGTAAATGATGTCCCAAAATTTAATCTCATCTTATAATCTTTTAGTCCAATTCCTCAATGAAGCTCTTTCTACCTACTGGGTTTGTATAGACTTGAGCATAAGCCAAGACCAAGTGTGTTTTACATCTATCTACACCCTCACATCCTATTACCTTATGGTAGTTTTAGAACCAGACTAGTTCTAGGTTAAAACAACAACCTGGTGATTTATTTTTGTATGAAAATTGCATATTGATATATTATTTACTTAAACTTTAAAGCATTAATTTGACCTCTAGAAATAACTAATAATGATTACATGTAATATTTTCAGAACTAAATTAATTATATGATAAATTGTATCAGATATAATCTGAAGGCTGTATGATATCTTTATCATTTGAATTTCATAACCTCAAAGTCCTCATATTGAAATTACAAAGATATTTATAGTGGGGGAGAGAGAGAGAGAGAGAGAAGACCGTGTTGCTCGGTGGGGAGAAAGGGGAGATAAGGGTTATAAAGCAAGTAGGGGCAGGGGGGAAAGAGTTTCGGGGAAGGTGGGGTCGGCCGGGTCGGGCAGAGCAGAAGGTGGAAGAGAAGATGGAGTCAAAAGTGCAAAAACATTTCTGGTGATTGAGAATAAGTCTTACAATGTAATGGTAGAGGGAAGGCGGATGGATGGAATCAGGATCAGTGAGATTGGGAAAGGTTTTCAAGCTTCAATATTTCTAGAGGAGGAGGGGTCGAGTGGCTGATGGATTCCCGGGCGGACTTCTACTGGAGGAAGGGAGGAAGGACATGGGGAAGACATCTCACAAGAAAGTAGTACAACCTCTGGATAACGCTCGGAAGAAATAGGAGCAGACATTATTTGGTGCTGATAGAGGAGAGAGGAGGGGCAACAAAGAGAAAATTCATTCCGGAAGGGGAGGAAGCTGGTGGATAGTGAAGGATGGTGAAGATCGTTTTCGAACTAGCAGATCACCTTCTGGGTAACCTAGATAAGAAGACGGCGGGGGAAGTTGGCCAAGGGGAAATGGCAACGGAGGAAAGAACAAGATTCACACGAAGAAGGGAAAAAGTCTCACACCCTCACTGCCATATTAAACTCAGGATAATCGAGAGGTGGGGGGAGTGGACGTATGCAGAAGCGACAAAAAGGGGAGAGAAGGTGTAAACTGGGTAGAGAAGAAGGGATCTGATAAGTTGCTGGGCCGGGCAAATTTTGAACTTCAAAATAAAACTTCGACGCAGGACTGGCCGAAACACACAAGAGATACGTTGTTTTGGAGGGGATACAAAAATTGGACTAGAAGAACATGGGTCGATGGGAGAGTATCAAACGGGCCGATGGGGGTAAGGAGGTATACTTAGGCCGGGAATGGCAAATGGGTTGAGAGTGCTGGACCGAGTAGGGAGCCCAGGAGGAAACGGGGTTCTATGGGCCTAGAGACCACAAAGAATCCGACCCCCTCTGGTGACTTGACAGAAAAAAAAAAAAAAAAGAGAGAGAGGAAGAAGAAAAATGCGAATGAGGAGAAGAGGAGGGGAAGGAGTCAAGCACAGCTGAAGGGAGCAAGAACCAGGGCAGGAACAATTTAGGAGGCAATCGGCAAAAGGGAGATGAGGGGAGTTCAGAGTTGTGCACATCCAGTACCCAGAGAGAAGAAATTGTTACCTTGGAGAAGGAATAGGTAGAGGAGGATAAACCTGGAAGCGGTCGTGAAATGGTCATGTGAACAGACGAGGAGATGAGCAGTCGAGAGAGGGAGAGTTGGCAATTATGTAGTGGAGGATGCCGATAATTAATTTGTCTTTTTCATATGAAACCCATTTGTTTAAATTTTTATTTTGAACTCCACAGTAGTCTTTAACTCTATTTCGTCATTTTTCAGGTACTAATATAGGTCATCTAATATGAGGTAAATTATATTGATAATGACTTCTTAATCAGTTTTTTCATAGATTTTTTTCGTAATTAAAAAGGGGTTCGATGTCACTTTCCAGAATCAAAATGAAGGGGAGTTGATTGATAGTGGGCTAGAGGAGAGGAGGTAGGCGAGAGGGATGTAGGGGTGGATACTCATTCCACTTGGGTGTTACAAAACATCCAGAAAATTAGTAGAATGTTAGGGGCACTTTTGAGGGAATTGGAGACAAAATGTTGGAATTGTTTGTGGAAATTGAGAGGGTGAAAAAAATGAGCAAAAATGAGGAGATGAAAGAAAAAAAAAGGAAACGGGGGGGGGGGAGGTTGTAGGGAGTTGAAGAGACTGCAGTCTTCTATTAATCATGATTGCAGGAGAAATAGAAGCAAGGCTAAGGGGGTGTGTGTGGAGGAGTTGTGATAATAGGAAAAATTATTTCTTGTAATGTTCAGGGCATGAATATGAGAAAAAGACAAGTGCTTCGTGGATGTTTGAATAGCTTACAAACCTGACATATTGTGCATCCAAGAAACAAAGATGGAAAATATGAGGAATGGGGGTATAAAAGCTTATGGAGAATTAAGACAGTTAAGTGGCATGCAATTCCGGCCGCTGGAGTCATGGGGGGTATTGTGGCTTTATGGAACGAGGAAAGGGTGGTCTGTAAAGATGTGCTTTTGGTGTTACAATCATATCGTGTTTGTTTGAGAACCAGATCGGTGGGAAGAGTGGGTGCTCATCCGGGTATATTGTAGGGGTAATAAAGAGGAGAAGACTTTTTTTGGAAGGAATTGAAAGCTTGTAAGAACAAGTATGGTGGTAAGTGGATTGTGGGTGAGGACTCCAATATAGTGTTGAAGCGGTCTAAGACATCTGTGATCATTTTCTTAGAGCATGTCCTATTTAGTTCAAAGAACAATTCAATAAGTTGAATTTGGTGGATTCGTCGTTGGTAGGAGACAAGTGGACATGTAATAATCAAAGAAGTAGTCCATCATGCACGAGGATCAACCGATTTTTATTACCTCATGATTGTCTTTCTTTGTTTTCAGTTGGCGTCAAAAAGTGCTACAGAGACCTCTTTCAGATCTTTTTCCCCTCTGTCTTGCTTCTAATGGTATACAATGGGGCCCCATTCCATTTAGACTGTACAACAAACTACTGAAGGTGGAGAGTTTCTGCAATTTGGTGGAGGGGTTGGAATTGTGGAAGAATACCATGGTGAATGGGAAAGCAAGCTTCAGGGTTGCCAAAAAAACTGATGACCTTGAAATCTGAGATTAAGAAATGAATGAGGGAGGAGAGGTATAAAGAAGAAGAGCACATAAACAACATGCTTCAGGAATTAGAAGATATTGATAAAAAGGAGGATGAGGTGTCGGCTAGCGAGGGATGAAGAAGCCAAGAGGGTTACTCTGAAAATGGACGTTGCTAATAGGCTACTCATGGAGGAAAATCCTTGGTAGCAGAAAACTAGGAAAAAATGGTAAAAGAAGCTGACAGGAATGAGATATTTCCATTATTTGACCAGCCATATGAAGAGATGTAACTACGTGGATGAGATGGTTATCAAAACCACAGAGTCAGGGGGAATGATAACACGAGGGGCAAAGCTTAAAGCTATTTTTAATGCTTATATAAAGAAAAGATTGACAGAAGACCACGTTGGGGGAGAATTCAGGATGTTGGGGGAGAATTACAGAGTTGAGTTAAAAAGAGAATTCAATGAAGAGGAAATCTATGATGGACTCAGACAATGTAATGATGAGAAGGCACCAGATCCAAATGGATTCAACATGAAGTTTCTGAACAAGAGAAGGTTTTTATCAAAAGAAAAATTTTCTTAAAATTATTCATTCGACTATCTTTTGGACAGTGTGGAAGGAGAGAAATGCATGGGCTTTTGAGGGGAGTGAGGGGAAGATGTCAAGGGTTAGAGATAGATGGATACACGTTTGGGTTGGTAATTTTGGGTCATGATATTTATAGGGAGGAGAATTTTGAGAATGTTATAGATATATTAACTGATTTGTAAAATATCTTAGTACAGGGATGGCACCTCTTTGGTGCCTTTACTTAATACTATTCTTTCTTTTTAACTCAAAAAATATATATATATATCTTGTCTGATTTTATGGATTTAGATATATTTATGCCGATGATGTCATAAAAATTTAACCTCATCCTATAATCTATCAATCCAATTCCTCAGACGAGCTCTTAATACTAACTATATCTGTACATACTTGAGCATAAGCCATCACCCGGTGTTTTATATCTATTAACACCAGTGTAAATCATTCAATTTAAGAGAATAGAGATCTACCTGCGCCAAAGCTTGGTATCCAGCGAAAAAGCTCCTCCTCATGTTTTCATTAGAAGCTTTGCCATTTGTGAATCCATGCACATCAAGGAATCTCTTATATAATTTCCTCTGCAAGGAAGAAAGCTTCACAGCTATTACAAAGACGGTTTTCGGTGGCAGGTCTTTTTTTACCACACTCATGTCCATTCTCTGAACAAATCCTTTCAATTGTTCATATAGAATATGAGACCTCTGGTTCATAATTTTCACATCTACAGATGTTGAATTAGTATGCTGACCATTTTCTATAGGATTCTGAAAGCTGCACAGTGCAAAAACACATTTGAGGCAGAGAAAAAAATGAAAATGGAAACAATCAGCAAAATGTAAGTGAGAAGCCTTGCCGGTTCCTAAACTCATGGCTGCTGCCAAGAAAACCTTCTCTCACAAAATCAACCATCTGTTCCAGGTAGACTTCTATAAGGAACAAAACACCAAAGAAGAACATAAATCTCTATGACATAAAGATAAATATCAACTAGAACCTACACAATAATATTCCATGAGATTGTTCTGCAGAGGTGACCCAGTCAATGCAATCCTTCTCTGGCATTTCACTTGTTTCAAGGCTTGGGTTGTATCAGCTCTCCTGTTCTTAATTATGTGCGCCTCATCACAAACAAGTATATCAGGTCCATCCTGTGGTTATGGAGAAAAGTTTGTCAAATAATTGCATGTAGTTACACAGACAATATTAAGAGGGGAAAGGATTTCCGTAGATAGATGCCAAGTTTCTAATAAGAAATTGCTTTTTATTTTAATAAAATTTTTCAAAAATTAGTAAAACAATATAAAAATAATGAAAATAAAAGAAATGACAAATATTTAACTAAAGACCGAATTCAATGCTTCAGTTGAAGGAAAAATTGAAAAGTCAAATAGTTTTAGCATAGGTTCACATCAACACCTGTAATCTGAAAAAGTAGAATAAATATGTAAATTATTGCAATGCCAAAATACAGGCGGAGAAAATGTGACAATTACCTGGAAGGCAGAGCGAATTTCTCTAGCCATATGTAGATCCTTCACATGCTTTCCAAGAGACAAATTTCTAAATGCAGTATAGCCAATTAAAAAAACTCCACCTTTAGCTCTCCACTTTGCAAGCAACTCTGTTCGTCTATCCCTGGCAACAGTAATCACACCATCAGCCAAAATATAACAAATTAAGAAAAGATGGATCTTTTGGTTAATAAGTGAAAGCATCCAATTAGATTCAATTTTTCTCAAACATAGTTTACACCAAACAAGTACTTCCCCATTTGTTATCAGTAAATCAATACCAAAACCCTGTATGCCATTTCATAAAACATTACTCTTCTCAATAAATTATTTCCATGACTTTGTTTAGCGCAAACAACAGTACACTTTCTTTCTTGGAGCCTTCACAACAACAGAACTCTCCAAGACAAATCATTATCTATTGAGGCAATAACATTGGAAATACCTAAAACAGGAAAAAGCTTGTGTGACTAATATATGCGGAGGGTGCTCCGATCAATAATACAGCAAGCTCCTGGACTATTTATTGTGGATAACAGGAGAGCAGTGACAAAGGTAGAAAATTTGTATCGCTATTCAAATGATTAAAACAAATTCAACCTTGATACATCTTCTAGCATAAAGATTCGAAGAGGTTTTACTTCTGAAGGCCTCCACTTCATAAATTCCTTCCGCCAATTATGCAGCACATTTACTGGCGTGACAATCAGTGCAGTTCTTAATCCCAAATCAACACTTCTCATTGCCGTGTACAAAAAAGCTATGACCTGGAAATATGATCAGATATATCAAGCAAACCACATCCATTAAGCAGCTGAGAAATGAAAAGAACCGGTCAAAAATGCTGTACAGAAAAGTAAATGGAGAAAAAGATTAGCAGAATATGCAGATACAACTAAAGAAACAGGCTGAGAGTGGACTAGACAAATAGGTAGAGGTGAAAAAAGTTGTCAAGAAAAGATAATGGAATTTCAAGAGAAAATGTAGAAATACCTGAAAAGTTTTGCCCAGGCCCATTGTATGAGCTAAAATGCAGCCAAGGCCTTTATCACCACTCTTTACCTTTCTGATTGACTGTATAATATTCTCCCACATAAATCTTATCCCAGCTACCTGCAGTAACAAATCACAAAAACTTACAAGCAATGTCTTTATTGGAATCATAAACAAAAGATGCAAAAGATCCCAATTCTTCCTCCTATCATGTCCTCTCCCTTCTCTCCATGTAACATTTCTCCAAAAAACTTTCTGATGCCAACAACTTAAATTCAAAAGCATATTATATTCATATAGCCAGGCTGGAATTCAGCCATATAATGCCATAAGAACAATTTGACACAGAAAGGCAAAAAAAAAAAGTTTGATGACACTACAGAAACTAGAGGACAACATGAATTATGGATGTATTATTAATCAGAAGAAAAAAATAACCAATTAATAAAACAGCAGCCAAGTATTTGTTCCAGGCCAGATGAGAATATTCAGTAATAAAGCAAGATAAGTAAATTTCAATACCTTAAGCAGAGAGGCACTGGCATGGAAAAAACTAAAACGATTCACACTATATTTGGAATAAATGAATTCCATAAAAAACCCAAAAGTCATTTGCAAATCAACATTGTTATATTTATAGTTAATAAAAATGTAGATTTGTGAGTATCCACTTTTTCAGTAAAACTCATTTTTTCTCCAAACGTTGCCTCAGAAGAACAGGTACTTGGAAACTCTTATATCAATTTCCTTATCTAAATGAATTCTAGTTAACATTGAAAAAATTATAATAAATAACAACGAAACCTGATGGGTTTTCAGTTTAGCAGATATGCTGGGTGGAATCCTCACAGCTTCTTCACCACTCTCCCTTGCAACATTCACGATGTAACCAGTGTAGGCATCACCAAGAACTTCCATTGTAGCACCTTCAGGTAAATTCCTGGTATAGGCTGCAGAGGTCGCCATATTTGATTTGGTAGAAAACTGTTCTTGCAATGACTTGAGACGTTCTTGGCGTTCCTACAAAGATTGGAAACAAAATGCATTTTGTGGGACAAAAATAACCATTTTGGACTAAAGAAAATCAATGTTTTACCTTCTCGATTGCAATTTTTCTTTTGGTCTCTTCTCCTAATTCAGCATCATCAAGGATCCGCCTAATTTTCTTTTTCCTCTTCTTCTTATAGCTAAATAAACAGATAAATCAATCAAGAATTATATATGAAATCTTCTAAAAGAATTATATATGAGAAACAATCTTCTTTAAATCTTGGATAATGTTAAATTATAACTCTTCTATTCATGATCCCCTAAGTGAAACAGAAAGATTACAAACACCTATATCAATGTCAACAAAAGTGAAGAGACAAGAAAAGAAACTACCCCTAGCAAGTTGTGAATAATGAAGAATTTAAATCAGCCTCATTGTATATAAAAATGCTGACTAACAGAAGAAAAAAAATTTAAAAAAAAAAAAGAGAGGGAGAGAGAGAGAGAGAGAGACATGGCAACAAGTCTTTTTTTATAGAAAAAGAAACAGAAATGAAGAGAAGTACAACAGACGGAAACTAGATATTCTCACAAAAGAAAAAGAAAGAGAAAAAAAAGGGAAAACCAGAATTCAATGAATAATATCCAGCAACCTCAAATTAAATTAGAAAAAGAATAATTTTTTAAAAAAGCTCATGCACCTTGGCACAGAGACATAAAGGACACCAAAAAGGATGCCCAAAAAAAAAAACAAGACGATTGATCTCTAGAGATCCTCGGATCCCTCTCCAACTAGATCACCCACAACTCAACAAAAAGGCTCCACGCTGCAAAGACTTAGCACCCTTCCTCCTATTGATATCAATTGAAAGTAAAAGAAATGTGTCAGGAGCCTTTGACATAAGCTCCGATCGACAGGTTGATTGATGGGTGAGCTTAGGAAATTAGGGTTAGGGTTTATGCAGAGGAAACAAGGAGAGAAGAGAATAATCAGAGAGAAGAAGAAATTCAAGAGAGAATACTGAGAGAAGTTTAGAGTTGAGAAATTTCATTCAAGATGATTTTCCTTACAGCCTTCTCTCCTTTCCCAAGGCTTTCTATATTCTTCTCCATAACAACCAAAACAGAAAGTAAAGGAACTGCAGAAATAACTAATAGTAGCATAAGTGGAATACAACAATAGAAAAGATTCTCCTATTCTAACTAATTGAGCAATTAACCAGAATATTGATTAGGTACTGCCGAGCTGTCACCAGCTCACCCTTTTACACCTGTAGCCCTCGCCCTCCTTTGAGAATCTTGTTGATTTTTTCTGGTGGCGCTGCGGGAAGCGCAAGCCTGACAGAATGAAAGCCTCAAGATTGAGGAGGGCCTAGCCAAGAAACTCCAGAAGGACCATAAAGACGTGTTCAAAAGCTCCAAGCCACTTCCGGATGCAGAGGGAGGTGGCTATGGGATTCAAGGGCTTTTTAGCACATCACACACATCCCAAGAGATAGAGCACAATTTGGTGTGCAACCTCAGAGCAAATCATTAGTATTCAGCCAATCAAAAACTACATTCCAAATAGATAACTTGACCTTGGAACCTTCATAACAAATTTAGTGAGAACATCATTGCTAATAGAGGGAATATGGGATAAATGAGCAAAGAAAGACTTGCAAGTGCAAATACCAAAGACCTAAATCTGC